CGGGACATCCTCAAAAAATCGGCTCCGGAGGGGACTCCGAAGCAGCATTATCTTGGAATCGCTCCCGGAGGGCCTCCAAAACGGCCCAAGAAAGCCCCCGAAGGCCCCCCAGAGGACCCCCAGAGCGCCCCAAGAGACCCCCAAGAGGCCCCCAAGGGGCGGCCAGAGGCCCGCCAGAGCGCCCAAAACGCCCCAAGAGACCCCCAAGAAGCCCCCCAGGGGCTCCAAAGAGGCGGCCAGAAGTCCCCCATAACGCGCGAAAAGGCTCCAGGAGTTCCCTGAGAGCTTCATATCGCCCCATAGAGCCCCCGAAGGCCCCCCCCGGGACTCCCCCAAGAGGCCCCCGAGAGGCCTGAGGCTACGACAGCCCCAAGAGCGTCCAAGATACCTCCAAGACGGCGCCGAAGCCAGGAAACGCAACAGGGATGTTCTCTGACGTTCTCGCCAATACGGTCTCTGACGCACGTGGTGGATAAAAAACTGCGCTTCCCGTTCTTGTCCGGTCAGGTTTTTTTTTTGGCGGATTTTTTCGTTGGCGGATTCCCCCAATGGTCCATTTCGCTCGGACTCCTCCAAAAATCGAGGTGTTGGAGGCTATGTTCGCAACATCATCTTGAAAACAGAGAGGAGCAAGCCTGGCAAGACGAGGAGCACGGCAGACCAGGCCCCAAGAGCGCCCTGAAGACGACGGAAAGGAGGACCAGGACGAGGAGCACGGCAGACCAAGACGAGGAGCACGGCAGACTATGCCCTAAGAGTGCCCTCAAGACGGCCGAACAATCATCAAACAAACAATGAGTCTAACGTCGTCTTGGAATCGTTTTTGAGGGCATCAGTACGGCCCCCCAAAAACAGAATCGGCCCAAAGAAGACCCGCAGAGTGCCCTCAATACGGCCGAACATGAGGATTTCGCTGGGGACGTGTTCAATAGATTAAGAGTGTATCAGCACCGTCTGTTGCAACAGCGATGTGCTGGTCTGCCGTTCTCCTGTGGTCAGCTGTGCTGGTCTGCCGTGCTCCTGCGGTCTGCCGTTCTGGTCTGCCGTTTTGGTCCGCCGTGCTCCTGTGGTCTGCCTTCCTGGTCTGCCGTGCTGCTGCCGTCTGTCGTGTTGCTGCGCTGTGCCGCGTAAGCTGATAAACCGGTCAGACCGATGAAAAAAACGAGAGTCGGGTTACAACGGCTACGCAGATTTAAACTGCTAGTCCAAAGGCTCTCCAGAGGACCCCAACATCTCCCAAGCACACCCCGAGAAGTCCATCATCATCATCATCATCATCATCATCATCATCATCATCATCATCATTATCATTATCATCATCATCATCATCATCATCATCATCATCATCATCATCATCAGATACATACGCATGCCCAGGACCACGATCATCATCGTCATCATCATCCACACCATCAGCATCATCATCACCATCGCCACCATCACCATAAGTATAATCATCATTCGTATCATCATCGTCATCCTCATCGTCATCGTCATCGTAATCATCATTATCATCATCACCACCATCATCACCATACTCATACTCATACTCATCATCATCCTCCTCCTCATCTTCATCATTATTATCATCATCGTACGCATCACCATCACCATCAGCAGCAACATGTTCATCACCAACAACAGCAGCGTCAGGCCAGAGGCCCGCCAGAGCGCCCAAAACGCCCCAAGAGACCCCCAAGAAGCCCCCCAGGGGCTCCAAAGAGGCGGCCAGAAGTCCCCCAGAACGCGCGAAAAGGCTCCAGGAGTTCCCTGAGAGCTTCATATCGCCCCATAGAGCCCCCGAAGGCCCACCCCGGGACTCCCCCAAGAGGCCCCCGAGAGGCCAGAGGCTACGACAGCCCCAAGAGCGTCCAAGATACCTCCAAGACGGCGCCGAAGCCAGGAAACGCAACAGGGATGTTCTCTGACGTTCTCGCCAATACGGTCTCCGACGCACGTGGTGGATAAAAAACTGCGTTTCCCGTTCTTGTCCGGTCAGGTTCCGGAAAATTGCGGAAAAATTGTCACTCCGCTCAAAAAATCTGACCAAGACGCGCCCAAGACGGCCACCAGGGCTCCAAGACGGCCCAAGAGCGCTCCAAGACCGCCCTAGAGCGTTCCAAGATGCCCTAAGATGGCTTCCAGACGGTCCAAGAGAGCTCCAAGACGGCCCAGGAGGCCCTCAAGAGGCCTCCAAGACGCCTCAAGAGGCTTCGAAGAGGCCTCACAAGAGCGCCAAAGAGGCACACATCTATGATTTTTGAATAGTTTTTGAAGGTTTTTGGGGTTCTCGCCTTTTCCGTTTCCCGACGCTCCAAGACGGCCCAAGAGGCCCCCAAGATCGCCCCAAGACGGCCCAAGAGGCCCCCAAGATCGCCTCAAGACGGCCCAAGAGGCCCCCAAGACGGCCCCAAGAAGGCACCAGAAGGCCCCAAGGCGGCCCCAAGACGGCCCCAAGAGGCTTCGCGGCGGCCCAAGAGGCCGTCAATATGGCTCCTAGAGGGGGCCCAGACGAGGTACACGAACGGACTTTTCGGGTCCTCGGCCCCAAGTGCCCCCCCCGGAGGGTCCAGGAGGCCCCCGAGAGCCCCCCAAGACGATCCAAGAGGCCCCCAAGAGGCCCCAAAAAGGCCCCCAAGAGGCCCCCAAGACGGCCCCCAAAAACGGCCCCCAAGAGGCTTCAGAATTGCTTGTAAGAGGCCTACGACAGACCGACCACGACATCCCAAGGCTCCATTACGAACGATGACGTGGGCAGCTTCGAACGCCAGAACTCCCAGTACGAACGCTGGCGTCCAGAGCTTTGACGACAAACACTGCTATGAGCACAAACGGCGCTTCCCGTTCTTGTGCGGTCAGGTTCTGCATACGGGCATTGGCCATGTATCATTTTCGTGGTCTCGCGGCTCTGCTTCCATGAGGAATTCGGTATTAACCTCCAGTGGATTCATCAAGCTCCGGGCATCCTCACCCAGCCCATCCAGCAACGATGCCCAGGCGAATTCCCTTGATCAGGGAAGTGGGGGGCCATGCAGTGGAACAAAGGAGTTGTTGGCTGTTCTTGTTGGAAAAAGGGGAGGAAGGATCTGTAAACGGGGGAAGAGGAGGACGATGGGGAGGAGGAAGAGGAGGAGTAGGAGGAGGTCGAGGAGGAGGAGGAAGAGGAGAAGGAGACATATTATGATAATGATGATGACGATGATGATGATGGTGATGACGATTCTGCTGATGCTGATGAAGATGAGGAGGACGAAGATGAGTAGGAGGATGAGGATGAGGAGTAGGAGGAGGACCAGGAGGAGGATGGGAGGACGATGACGATGATGATGATGATGGTGATGATGATGCTCATGATAAGGATGTTGATGCTGCTGATAATGATGCTGATACTGATAATGATGATGCTGATGCTGCTGATGATGATGATGATGATGATGATGATGCGGGTGCTGATGATGACGATGATACTGCTACTGATAGTGGTGATGCTTGCGATGGCGATGGTGATGCTTATGAACATGAGGATGACGACAATGATGATGATGCTGTGACTGACGATGCTGATGCTGATGATGCTGCTGCTGCTGATGCTATTGATGATGCTGCTGCTGCTGATGATAAGGGTGATACTGTTGATGCTGATGATGATGCTGATGATGATGACGCTAAGGGTGATGCTGATGCTGATGAGGATGCTGATAATCGTGATGATGATGCTGCTGCTGATGCTGATGATGCTGCTGATGATGCTGCTGCTGCTGCTGCTGATGATGATGATGATGATGATGATGATGATGATGCTGCTGATCGGATGGTGATGATGATGAGGAGGATGAGGATGAGGATGCGGAGGAGGGGGAGGGGGAGGAGAAGGAGAAGGAAGAGGAGGAGCATGAGGAGGACGACAAGGATCAGGAGGGGGAAGAGGAGTAGGTGGACGAGGAGAAGGAGGTCGACGAGGACATGGGCAGCTCACTCCTCTGCTGTGAAGGGCGCTGGAGAGAGCTTTTGGCTGCTCGTCTGCCACTGTTCACTCTGCCCCGGCGGGCAGCCCTGGCGGGCAGCTCGGGCGCCCCCTCACTCTTAATCCGCAATTGCAGGGTGTGTGGTAGCTTGCACCACGTAGCTTGCACCGCACAGCTTGCACCACATACCATGACACCCGCAGTTGCGGATGAGAGCGAGGGGGCGTGGTGGGGGTGGGGGGCGGGTCGTCGGCAGGCTGCGAGGCTCTGCAACCCGCCGTGGGAGCGCGCAGGTTACTTGCTCAAAGCAGCGTGGGTGGATCGCGGGTGGGTCGCGGGCGGGTGGCGAGTGGGTCGCTTGTGGGTCGCTGCGCGGGTGGGTCGCGGGTGTGTCAACGACGACAAGAACATCAGTTCGAATCGCGTAACCCCACTAGAGTCGCGCACCCAGGGACCGTGGTAAGACCGTACGGCCCCCCCTCTTTCTGATATTGCGCCGCATCGCTTACGCCACATAACTTGCCCCACACAGCTTGCACGTCCACAGTGCAATACCTTGATGTTTGGGGTCCACGCTGCCAACCATATGTTTGTACACACGTATGTATGCATGGATGCATGTATGCATACTTACGTCGATAAATCGATACACCGAAACATCGATACGTATATACCCACATCCATCCATCCATCCATCCATCCATCCATCCATCCATCCGTCCAACCATCCATCCATCCATCCATCCATGCATGCATGCATGCATGCATGCATGCATACATACATACACACATATACCCTTGTCTATCTCTACAGGTTTAGAACTCAATTCCACAGAAACTCTGTCAACACCGATCCCCCGGAGCCCCCTCCCCGGGCCCATCTGGGCTCCCGAGGTCCGCCTGGGCCAGTTTTTCACCCCTGACATGGAACCTTGCTGGCCCAGGGGGGGGGGCCGAACACGGACCCCAGACGACACCCACGACCACAAAAACCGCATCCAGGACTCCCACTTCCTCGACCCGCTCGACGCCCGTGCGCCTCGTCGAGCTCGCTCGCGTTGTTGGCGTTGAATCCCCGGGCCAGCTCGGCGGCGACGCCCTGCACCTGCAGGCGTTCCTGGGCCTCCTCGGGCGGCTTGGGGGCGGGGGCGCAAAACAGCGGGTGCGCTGGAGAGGGGGACCAAGCAGAGGCCCAGACGCCCCTCGCGAAAAAGATATATGACGGGAAGCTTCTCCATATTTTCGGCCTCTGGGGGCCCGGACCGGCCCTCGGGACCGTCACCAAAACGAGTCAGGATGAAAACCGGTCCAGGGGAAGGGGGTCGAGACCTCCAGGGGTCGACGTGCTGCCAGAAGTCCTGGCGTCGGGGGTCCGGGGGGGGTCGGCTCGGCGGAGGGCCACTCGAGACAACGGCGGGCCCCTCTCTTCTGCTCTTCGTCCGCTCGGGGCCTCCTGGAGTCTCGTCGCCACGGCTGGGTCCGCCACGAAGAGCGGGGGAGGGGTTGGAGGATCGCTACTGAACGGGTTTGGGCCTCTCGGGGCGCTCCGGGTGGACCTATGGGAGATCTCTTGGGCCGTCTTGGGGCCCTCTCTGGCCGTCTGAACGCCATAATTACTGAACGCCATAATTACTGGGGACCTCTTGGACCGTCTGGAGGCGTCTCGCGCCAGCTTGGACCGTCTTGGGGCCATCTCGGGCCATCTGGGAGCGCCCTGGAATGAACTGGGACCTTTACTTTGCTCCCAGGGCCTTGAGGAGTCCAGAGAACATTCATTAAGACACAAGCCCTTCTGGCACGTGGGAGACGCTGCATTGTAGAAGAGATGGCGTTGGACTCCAGCCTCGCCTCCCGCGTCTCACCGAGCTCCGACAGTGCGTGTTGCCATTGCCCGCCTTTGCCGCATGCGATGGCGGTCGTAACGCAGTGGCCTGGGAAGACTACACACCTAATTGAATGCCTCCGCGGAACAACTAGAGTGCTGCGCTTCATTGCTTTGTCCGACAGCACTTCTTGATTGACACTTCGAGGGGAATAATGCCTTCTCGAGGCCCTCGCCTGATGTTCAGCATTCCAGAAGATGTGTCCTAAAAGACGTGGTACCACGGCTGCTTGAGCCCAACATGGCTTGAACCAGCACGACTTGAGCATCCTCCTCCTCCTTCTTCCTCCCTCCTCCTCCTCCTCCTCCTCTGCCCCCTTCTCCTCATCCTCCTACTCTCCTCTCCTCCTCTCCTCCTCCTCCTCTCTCTTCCCTCTCCTCTCCTCCCTCTCCTCCTCCTCCTCATCTCCGCCCTGCGTCTCCTTCGCTCTTATCTCCTCATCTCCTCTTCTTCCTCCTCCTTCCTCCCCCCCCCCATCCTCCTCCCTCTCTCTCCTCCTCCTCCTCCTCATCCTCAATCCCTCTCCCCTCTCCTCCTCCTCCCTCCTCTCCCTCCTCCTCATCTCCTCCTCCTTCTCCTCCTTTCCCCTCTCCTCCCTTCCTCCTCCTCATCATTCCTCCCCTCCTCCTCCTCCCCCTCCTCCTCTCTACGCTCCTCCTCTCGCTCTTATCCTCCTCTCCTCCCTTCCCTCCCCCCCTCCTACTTCCCCTCCTCCTCCTCCTCCTCGTCCTCCTCCTACTCCTCCTCCTCCTCCTCCTCTCTTCCTCTTCCTCTTCCTCTTCCTCTTCCTCCTCCTCCTCCTCCACCTCCTCCTCCTCCTCCTCCTCTCCCCAGGGTGAGGCCTGGCACCTGTTTTCATGGTGTCAGTGCCGAGCACCCTCGGGGCACACTGTACACGGCACTTAATTTGCAGGTTGGGCGGGGTGCAACCGGCCGTTTTTTCTGGAACTGCGGGCTTTGGGGCTTGGGGTGGACGTTGCGAAACCTGTATCGACGGGTCTCCCGTCGTTGGGTGTAGCACGGCCCCAGTCTCAGCCTGGCCCTGCGGGTGAAGGCGGGTAGCGGCGCCTGTGCGGTCATTTCATTGTGATCTGACCCTCAGGGATCGGCATTTCCTCGGGAGGCGGTGGCTTGTTCCACGTAAGTCCCAAGGGACCTTGTGCCCACCCAGGGCTGGTGAGCTTGTGCTCCTCGGTATGCCGTGCCAGCTGCTCCGACTGGGATGCCTTTGGCTCTCAACGCACCATGTCGGCACCGCTGGGCCGCGAGTCTTCACAAGCGACGTGGTCACCCCCTGTGCCCTTCCTGCGCAGCTGTTGCTGCTCTCCTGGCGGTAGTTCGTTGGCTGGGCGTGTGCAATACGCAGGCGGCCTTCGGGTGACCGACCCTGGGCGCCGGACTCCTCCTCCTCTTCCTCCTCCTCCTCCTCCTCCTCCTCCTCCTCTTCCTCTCCTCCTCCCCCCCCCCCGTCCTCCTCCTCCCTCCTCATCCTCCTCCTCTCCTCCGCCTCTGCTGCTCTCCTCCTCCTCCTCCTCCTCCTCCTCCCCCTCCTCCTCCTCTCCTACTCCCCTCCCCCTCTCCTCCTTCCTCCTCCTCTCCTCCTCCTCCTCTCCTCCCCTCCTCCTCTTCTCCTCCTCCTCCTCCCCCTCTACCTCTCTCTCCCAATTACTCATATGGGAAAAAAAAATTTTTTTTTTTTTTAACCTTTTTTGTTTTTTTTAAAAAAAAAACTCCCTCTTCCCCTGATGACGGCTTGAAAATATTCGCCCCCCCTCCCGCGTATTTTTTTTACACACAGGTTTCCCCGGAGTTGGGTTTTCGCCTGCCTGCATTTGTTTCTAAAATGCTGCTCTCGCTGAGGCGCCGGCCTCATTCTCGGGCCCCGCTCGTTCCGAATCGTGCTCCCGCTGCAGCGCTGGCATCATTTCCGCCGGCGCCCGGGCTGCACGCCCGAGCCAGCGCCCGGGCCGGTTCCGGCCGCCACCGGAAAATCGAGTTCTGAGGCGGCGCCGAAAAAAGGCCATTCTAATACACATTTTTCTTTTGAGAATGCTGAATTTCTGCCTCCGGCGCCCGGGTAGGCCTCCCGGGCCGATTCCAACGCCCAGGCCGGCGCCCGAGCCGGCGCCCGGGCCGGACGCCCGAGCCGGCGCCCGGGCCGGCGCCCGGGCCGGGTCCGGAGCCGGTTCCGGCCGGCGCCGGAAAATCGAGTTCCGAGGCGGCGCCGAAAAAAGGCCATTCAATACACATTTCTCTTTTAAAAATGCTGAATTTCTGCTTCTGGCGCCCAGGACGCCTCCCGGGCCGATTCCGGCGTGCTTCCGCTCGCTCCGAATCGTGCTCACGCTGCAGCGCTGGTCTCATTTCCGCGCTTCCGCTCGTTTCGACTCGTGCTCCCGCTGCAGCGCTGGCGTCATTTCCCGGGCCATGCCACGGCATGCAATGCAATGCTAGGTTGATACTACGCTTCGCGGTGCTCTTCTACGCAATGCCATGCCGCGCTCTACAATGCATCGCGTACCCTTTCGGGGTCATTGCCCTGCTCGACATCCGACTGTGCGAGTAGAGGGGGGATCTGCGCCATGGTAAGGGATTTTTTTTTGGATTGCGCTGCTGATGAAGCGTATGGCCTGTCAGCTAATGGCGGCGCTGCAGCTAGCAGAGGCAGTCAACACAGTCAACTCGTGTGGCTGTACTAAGAGGCGAAACTCGCAAACTCTGCACGGGCACCTGAAGTCAAGTCAGACAGTAACTTCCTCCAACCAACCTGCCAAGCCCTATGAATCCCACCCAGTCCCATAGTATTAACTGCGCGCACAACTGGGTGCGAGGCAGCAATGTGGACGCAGAGCGTCTGGTACTAGGCGGCAAAGTATTGAAACTTTCAACCGTGGCCAGGAAGTGGCGGCGGCCAGGGTGGGCAGTCCTGCACGGTTGCTCTCGGGGTAACCCTGAAGCACCAGGACATCACGCTTCACAGAGATATACTCGCTGACTTAACCCCTCCACAATGCTACCAGCCACGCCCACTCCCATCCTTATCTGCAAGACAAAAGCAAGAAAGGCTGGCGGCAGGCGGGGGCTGCGGCGTGCAGCCGCGTGAGCGCCTGGCTGGCGACGCGCGGACCGACGGACGCTCGGGGTTCGGTGCCGCACGCAACGGGTGTGTGGTTAGCGACGGACTACGCTCACCGAGCCCCCTGCCGCTGCCCCCCACGGGCCAGGCTTGAAGCTTGACAGTCGGGTGGTGACAGAAACGCGAGGGGGCGCACCTCTGTCCAGGTTGACGGTGGAGAGAGAGCAGGCGAGCGGGTGGCAAGCAGGCGGCGGCGGAAAGAAGCAAGAGAGGCAGGCGCATGCCTCTCTGATCTCAGCACGTCCGCCCAACCTGACATACCCATCCCCCTCCCGAATACATGTTGCGATCTCCTCGACCGCTGTCAGCTCTCAAAACAGCTGCACTCAACGACTTTACCTCGGCGAGCGCCGCTGTGGGGCGGGGGCTTCGCGAGTTCCTTTCGGAGCGCCCACTATGGCCCCCTCCCCTCACGGTTCGACCCTCGGTTCGGCCGACCAGGCTGACGCACGAGCTGGCGACAGTTGCGCACGTCAACTGCTTTCAGTGAAACATGTTACGCACTGTCTGAAATTTAGTCTCATAGAGAGAGTGGGGAAGAGGGCGGGACAGCACATGCAGGCAGGCCGTGCACAAGAGAGAGCAAGAGAGGCGGGCTGCCGCTCTCTCTCTGACTGTTGCTACACTGCCTCGCTGCTAAAACCTCCAACTGCCCGATCTACTAATCCCAGCCCGCTCCCGATTACACGATGCGGTCTCCACGACCGCTGTGGCTCTCAAAGCCGCTGCACTCAACGACTTTACCTCGGCGAGAGCCGCTGTGGGGCGGGGGCTTCGCGAGTTTCTTTCGGAGCGCCCACTATGGCCCCCTCCCCTCGCGGATCGACCCTCGGTGCGGCCGACAAGGCTGACGCTCGAGATGGCAACAGTTGCGCAATACGACTGCTGTCAGTCAAACCTGATGCGCCTTGTCTGAAAAATCTGGTCGCAGAGGGAGAGGGGGCAAGAGGGCGGGGCGGCGCTTGCAGGCAGGCCGAAGCCATGAAAGAGCAAAAGAGGCGGGCTGCCGCTCTCTCCGCTTGCTGTTACCCTGCCCCGCTGCTACCACCTCTGACAATCCCCCAACTTTCCCTCCATACTACAAAAATCACCTGAATCTGCTGCAAT